TCTATGTCATTGATGAAGATATTAAACAGTACCGGTCCCAATACAGACCCCTGCGGGACACCACTTGTCACCAATCTCCATCTGGACATTGAGACATTGACCACTACCCTCTGGATGTGACCATCTAACCAATTCCTCACCCACCAGACACTCCACCCATCAAATCCATACCTCTCCAGTTTAGAGAGAAGGATGTTGTGGGGGACCGTGTCAGAGGACTTACAGAGGACCAGATAGATGACACATGTAGTGCTTCCCATGTCCACTGATGTAGTCACTCCCTCATAGAAGGCCGCTAGGTTAGTCAGGCAGGACTTGCCTTTGGTGAAGCCCATCATGTAGTCCTTGATTACAGGGAAATCAGGGAAAACTTTCCAACTAAGTAACTTGAGTTGGCCTGATCCAATATTCATTTAATATCCCTGTTGAGATGAGGAGATGCTGAATCTGCAATTAGGCAATCTTATAATTGTTTAATAACTAGAGCATGTGTGGTAGAGAGCTTCTTACCCATAGCATGGTGGTTCTTTGGGACAAAAAAGGAGAGTATCAGATGGATGAGTCAGCTCATTCTCCTGGGAGAGACTCCTAGGCTCTGCTTTCCTCTCCTGAACTTACTTTAAGAAGATATAAACAAAGTTTCTGACTTGTGGATGAAGTGGAAGTTGTTGGGTTGAATCACCTTATTCCTGGGAGGGTACTGGACGTAGTAACATCTCTTACTGTCTGGGTAAGTGCTCTAAATTGGTAAACAATTAGAAAAACTGAGCACTATTGATGCTACTTGGAGAATTTAGCCACATGGAAACATTTGTAAAGAGTTTAATCCAGATAGTATGTGTTAGTCATGATTTCATTATGGCTGCTGGGTTGTAGGGGTCAGGCTGGTGCAGAATCTGATCAGGTTTACACAGAAATCTTTAGTTTCTCAACTAGGGACATGAAACATATAAATAGAAGCAGAATTTTAGGTGTCCTGGAAGCCTTCTGGTTCAACAGAGAGGTACCTGGTGATTTTAGGTGGCCTTGAAATGAAATTTATTTGGATCACAGTCTTTGACTAAGTAGTGATTATAGTTTGTCTAATTCCTTGTAGGTATCCAATTCTTTATTTGGGTCATGTGTGTATTAAAGATTAAGCTATTTCCCTAACCATCTGCCTTGAATTTTTATGATTATTGAATTCTGCTGGAGCTTTAGAGACTCTAACTGCTGTAGGTATTTAAAAAAAATCTTGGTCTACAGCAAATATGGGATAGTAACAAATATTTTTTTTTTTAATCCTTAGATACTACTATGCTCATATCTTATTATAGTAGTTTGTACCTAAAAATTTTCTTGTTCTGATACATATACAAAATCTGTTATTGTCTTTAAATGACTATTTTTATGCTGTATCATATTTTAATGCTTCTTTCACTTCTCTTAAATATAGGATTTGATAGATATTTTCGGAGCCGAACACTTGCTAACAATCGAAGAAATGTATGGTTTGCAGAATTTTGGGAGGAGAACTTTGGATGCAAGTTAGGATCACATGGAAAAAGAAATAGCAATATCAAGAAATGCACAGGTAACTGTGAAAGTAATACATCATCTGTAAAAGTTGTTTATTGGAGTGCAGGAAAGGAACTGCTTTCTTTTCATCATTCTTCTGGCTCCCTTTAATTTTCCAATACCAATTATTGTGTTGTAAGAAAAATGTGACATTTTTTCTTAAACCTGAAGAAAAAATTCATGGGCAACGTTTGAGAAAGTTAGTAGTTAATTTGCACAAATCCAATGATGGTACGGATTTTGTTAAAGACCTGTGGCTGTGGTTCAATTCCATTCATGTTTTCAATGACCTCCTCTGTCACTCCATCTATAGTTGTCAATATGATTTTTTTTTATTTTTTTTAATTTTTTTTTTTTTTTAGTGAATGGGCACATCACAGCAATTCTGATGTTGTTATCCCTGAAGTATATAAAGAGAAAATTAAATTTCTGTTTAAACTATTGAGGTCTTGATGATAGGTCAAGTCAAGAACTCCTTATTTAGTTTACAAGCTGTGTTTGAGGATGGAGTAAAAATCAAATCAATATGTCCTTATTACTCGTTCTCATGTGAAAAGAACAGGATTCTATATCGTATTATAAAGTGGAAAGTCTCTATGAAGTTTGAGCAAAACCTCTATGTAACTGGCACTGCTGTTCTCAAACCTGCTTGCTCAGGCATCATACCCAGACACAATTGTCACGACAGCTAATATAGCAGTGTCATCAGTAGCTCTGAGGTTCATCTCACCTATGAGATGATGGCTTTTTGTGGTTTCTTGCAGGATTTACTACAAGATTGTCACCTTTACTATTCTGTGACTACAGCAGACTGTTTATGTTACTTTTTGTATAGATAGTTTTTTGCCTAATGTCAGGGCTTCCAGTGTCATTTGCTTAATTACTTCCACCACCCCCAGCAGTACTGGTGGTGACCACCATCTCTGTGACTAGTGCCAGCAGTAATATTCAATTTTCTGTACTGCATACATGTCATCCATGTGTCTTGATTTCCCTGGCAGTGTTTTCTTTCACCAAATAATATTTTCCACATGGAAAGTGAATGTTTTTGTTCACTTACTGTTCCAGGATTTCTAGCTGCCTGGTGACACTGTCATGTAGCCTTTGTTATGGGGGTGCCCTTCCAAACTGCAAACAAAAGTTGCACATCAGCACCCCACTTCTCCTGGGTTTGTCAGACAGACATACCATGCAGTCTCCAAGCACATGCACCGTCAGTCCTGCACTTCCTGAACCATCAGATTTATTGCATGTGTACTGTGCCATCAATTCAAAGACTTACTGCATTGGGCTTTGCAATGCGCAGATATATCTCACACAGAAATATGAGAGCCATGTATGCACTCTCTCATTTCAACAATGACGCCTTGTCTTCTGCCTTTTACCACATACTCCACAAAAAAAAAGGTTGATATTCAGTTCCTCACTGAGCTAAATGATAGCTCATTACTCTAATCCTTTACTCCTTGGCCTTGATTCATATAGCAGTAAGTCATGGCTGGGTAGTTACCCATGTCTGGGAAGGGATTATTTTGTTTTTACTATTTTAAGTGGAAAATAGATGCTTTTTTTGAAGTTCTTCAGGTGGAATGAGTGGTGTATGTGCTGGAGTTTGGGAAGCTTTAAATGTTACCACAGATGGTTGTATGACTTGTCTCAGCCTCATCACATCTGTCAAATTGAATTACCAAGTGAAAAGTAGTGTATAAAATGCATAGGCCGTATCTTGATAGATTCAAAGTAATTTGCGATTTGAAATGGATATCCATATATTTATGAAACAAAATTATGGTATGCTCTCTGTGCCTGAAAACAGAAAGAAAACATTTTCTGCACCCAGAAAGTTAACATAGTATCAAGGGATGGGTTTAAGACGTGGGCAGTCTCGTATGAAGGTTACACATGCATTTTCACCTGCAGGGGAAAAAGCTATGAATTCTTCTGCAAGCAAGAGTATCTACGAGTGATAGGACCCTTGAATAAAACCACTTAAAGGTGGCTTACTACAATGGAAAAGACACTTGGACAGCAGCAGACCTGAAACAAGCTGATGATTCATCATGATCCCTATGCTTGTCTAACTCAAATTTAAAGGGTTGGATAACAAAAATAACCAAAATGTGTTCCTTTTAAGTAAACTGAATAAAGAGATGAAGGTGGAAGTTCAAAATAAACGTCCTGTGATTTAAGGAGAAATGCTAGGTGGAGAATGGGGGAATGACCCTCCCTCCCAGTCTAGACCTAGAGAATCACAAATGGCATCTTGACCAACCCCGGTTCATTTGTCATGGCTTCCCACGCACAAAAGAGAGGCAGCAATGAAAGCCTGCCTGGTTCTTCGTACCACAGCCCTCAAAGCAGATGAATCAGTCTACTATGATCTATGTCTGCTAAAGATTAGAAAAGAATATCCCACGCATGAGTTTGTCTTTCCCTTTAAAAGCCAAAGATGTTACTTCATGGCCAAGTCTGCTCTGAAATAATGGCGGTAAATGAAAGAAATGAATGAACCCCCAAATTTCAATAAGGATATAGGAGCTGTTACATTTAATTGTTTATAACTTAATATTGAAAACTTTGATCCTTGGCCGATCCCAGTTGCCAGTTGTCCTTCCAGTGGGTTTTCTCTGAAACTTTATGTGTACTTTCTCAGTCCTAAATTTCAGCTCAATTCTTAAAAGGAATGTATACCCATCTCTAGTTCAGGACTTGAAGACTGAACTTAAAAACACCATTTATCCTAATTTTCCCATATTTTATCTGGGTACTGCAGATAATAAGATCTTCTTTGTCTTTTGCCCACCAGCCCAATTTGTGTATCATGTCAATAGTCACTGATAGACTGAAAGAAATCCAAAAGCTCGAGGTACAGCCGTAATCTGAAAATGTCCCTCTCCAAAAATATTAAAAGGCAAATTGCTAGGTATAAAGTTTTCTCAGGCTTGAGATGTGTTTTGTCAGGCATTCCTGTTTATTTTAGCTAGGAGGTACTTGAATCTTTTTCTCATATGACATTTGTAAGTTCCAACAACAACAAAACTGATATCCCTGTTCTCTATTTAGTCGAGTTATCTGTTCATAGCTTTAAATTTTTACTACCTGCAGTCAGGATGCTACCAATCTAATCCAATTTCAAACTTTTTTTTTCCTATGAAGATACTAGAAAATGCTTCATATCAAAAAATATTTCTCTCTTTTCTTTTCCATGTAAAATTGAGTCTTTTTAGCACTGAAAGTCCTGAAAGGGATTTCCTCTCCTTCAAGGTTAAGAATTACAAAAGGGCATAAACCTTCTTACCTCCCGTCATGGAAATGAGTGATTTAGATCACTTAAAGCATCACTGCCAAAGGTGTTAGCAAAAGTGGTTTTAATATGATGTTGTACAAGTGCGACTTAACAAAGTTCAATGGCAAGGTTCACTCTATTAATTACTGCATGGAAGAAACATACAAAGGAAAATTGAGTTACACTCAAGTTAGAATGATTCACAGAGAGACCAGAGACACAAAGGGTAAGGAAGACCCTCCCATCGAGTCACAAGGTTCAGAGTGGACCCCCTTGCTTTCTAAACTCCTTCTCAAGAGAGGAGTTCGGTGCGGCTGGTCCAAACTCAGTCTCAGACTCGGTCAACGGTTTATGTCCTTAGACAGGACATAAACATTAGGATTGTATATGCAATGTTTTATTAGCATAAATTCAGCATGCAATCAAAGTTACCAAGACAAAAATCAAGACAAAATCAAAGTTACTTACTACAAGGTAATGTGTGATATCAGTCGCTTACCAAAGATCTGTCATTGGTAAAAGGTCTCTCTTCCTTGAGGAGCAACCTTGAGAGGTGTCCCAGCTCAAGGGGAGATCACCGCCATGCAGCCACACTGCCTAGCAGGGAGAGCTCAAAGAAGGCTCACCTAGGCTGTCATATTTATGGGATAAAGTGGGTGGCTCATAGTCAAATTACATGCGATGGAAAAGATATGCATGAGACTCCTTGTACCCACAACTTTCTTTGTTCCTTGATAAATGAGTCTTGGAAAAGCCACCTGCTATTCATGTGTTAATCACATGATCGGTGTTCCAAGCTCATATGCATCGATGCTCACTGGGTCACTCTGCTCCTTTGTGGGTTTTCAGAGAACAGATTGAAACTAGGGGAGTTCACGCCTGGCTACGTCTCAGGCCTTTACCCCTTCCGGAGCCTGCACCAAACCACCGCCGGTCTGGTCAGGGGTCGAGTGCATCCGTCACACCTCCTTCTGTTCTTACACATTACTGATTATTATAGCCTAGTGTTGTAATGGCTTAAACAGTTTTATTTAAAGAAAACTGTTATTTTAAACCTGTTTGAAAATACTGTTTATTTGTGGTTGCTGTTATTTCTTATTCCTAAAAGAATTTGTGCTTTGGAGATACAGAAAATAATAAATTTCTTTTGAGTTTACCTGATCGTTTGCTTTCTGATTTTTGCCAGTTTACAGAAAGCAATGATTCACCTAAACTTTGAAAAAGTAATTGCTTTGCCACTATTGATTTGCAACTAGCTCTGTGTGTTTCTGAATGTGAGTCTACATTGATCAAATCATCAAGATTAGAATAGTTCATTGAAAAATATTAGAGATTTTTTCCCCCAATCTTTCTGGAATTAAAAAAAAAAATCAAATTGGGCCATTAATTTAGTAAACATGAAACAATAATTCAGTGACTACCCTTAAACTTTTTTAATCGGGGAAGGGGAAAGGCATTTGGCAGTTTGTCTTACTAGAACAAAATGGAAAAGAATGGAGCACTACAAGGATCGAACTGTCTGTTAGAGGTTACAAGAAGCCTCACTTTACATATTTATTCAAGGTGCTGGGTTTCTATATTCAATAAAGGGTCTTTAGTGAGACATGAATCTTTCAGGGATCTTCAACAGCCTTTCTTTAGCACTGGAATCTCTTTGTGGGATTGAGAAGTGAGGAGATGGGAAGCTTTTCACTCACCCCTGTGCCCCCGCAGAAAACTGTAAAGAGAGA